AACAACAACAATAATAATAATAATAACAACAATAATAATAGTAATAATAATAACAATAATGACAATAATGACAATAATAATAATAATAATAATGATAACAATAGTAACACTAATAATAATAATAATAATAACAATAATATTAATAAGGATAATAATCATAAATATAATAATAACAATAATAATAAATATGATGAAACAATAATAATCTTCTTCTTCTCAAATGCTTTCAGCGCACGTTAAGCTAACGTGAGCTGGAAGGTGCAATGGCGAGGGGAAGAGGTAGAGGGCGTGGACGTCGCCGGAAAACAACTGTAATGGATGATAGTAGCTCAATAGGAACACATATGGAAGAAAAGGATTCACAGAAGAAGGAACAAGCTCAACAAGAGGAAGATCAAGGAGAAGCTGAGGTAACTACAAACACTAAAGGAGCTAGGAAATTGATTTTTGAAGCTCACAGTACTAAGGATGTGGAACGTGGGAACTTAGATCTAAAGGGTTTTGAAAAAGAGATCCAAATGGAAAGCAATGGAACAGTAACAAACAGCTCACAGAGTAAGGACAAAGTGGTTAATGAAGAGAATGATCAGAAGCAATCAGCTGAACCGTGGGTAAACATGTTAAAAACTAATCGAGTTGCGAGTAATGGAATACAGCTATCATATATTGTGGAATATATTCCTCCACAGGTAGTTGATGGTCAAGCAGTAGTGCAGCTTGGAGAGAAAGAGGTCTAGGATGAAGAACAGAAATGAAAATGTGCCCTTATTGCTTATGTGATTGGGGAATGCCCAGGGTATAATACCATGAAGAGGTATATAATTGTGAACTGGTCAAGTGTGAGTAAGCCTGAAGTGTTCCTTCATGAAGATGGATACTATTTGATCAAGTTCCAGAAAGTAAGTGACATGAATGAGGTCCTGTTCTCAGGACCATATTCAATCAATAATAGACCAATAATACTGAAGCAATGGAGTCCTGAATTTGATTTTGGAAGTGAGTTCTTAACAGAAATACCTCTATGGGTTAATTTTCCAAACTTGCCTTTGAATTGTTGGGGAGGGGGATCCTTGAGTAGGATAGCCAGTGCAATTGGAGTTCCTATCTTTGCGGATGAATGTACTACTAAACAAACTAGGATTTCATATGCTAGAATGCTAGTAGAAGTTAATGTCACAAAAAAAATTCCCCAGAAAATTACAGTAGTGGATCCATATGGGAAGACATTCTTACAGGATGTGGTGTTGGAATGGAGGCCTCAGTACTGTGATAAATGTCAGAAGATTGGACATGTATGTCAAGTAGTGACTGATCCAAATGAGGAGGTAATGAAGAAAAGAACACCAGGGAAGAAAGTAACTCAAACATGGCAATATAAAGGGCCAATATCACAGAAGACTAGTCAAGAGAAGAAGGAGGAACATAACCAAGAGAAGAAGAATCAGCTAGAAGAACAAGAAGAAGAACAGATCACAGAAATAATGCAAACACCAAAAAGTTATGCAATGCAGGGGTATAGTCAGCTGGGATTGAGCTTGGATTTCCCATACTGAAGCCTATTGCAACAAGGAATGGATTTGAGAGTCTTATGAATGCTAAAACTACTTCACTTTTTGTTGATAGAGGTGGAGCACCAAAGTCTTGTTGATGAAGTGGTTGTTTTGGAATGTAAGGGGCATGAATAAAAGGTATAAGCAGAAGGAGATCAAGCTGCTTATACAAAATAAAGTGTGTTTAGCTGGTCTAGTAGAAACTAGAGTTAAAAATAATAATATGAGTTCAGTTCTGAGAGGAATAGCACCAGGGTGGCAGATTCTACACAATTATGAAGATAGTGCTAATGGCAGGATTTGGGTGATTTGGGATGATAATTGGTATGAAGTCAAGAAAATTACCAGCTCATCTCAGACGTTGCATTGCCAGGTGAATGGAAGAAGTAAGGGATACCAGATTATGCTATCAGTAGTATATGGTCTGAATACAGCTGAACAGAGAAAGAGCTTGTGGAAAGAAATGGAAACACTGGCACAAGGTATTACACAACCTTGGCTGGTAGTAGGGGATTTTAATGCTATACTGTATGCTAAGGATAGAATAGCTGGAGTACCTGTTACTAGTAATGAGATAAAAGATTTTGGTGAATGTGTGAGAGACATGGGGGTTAATGAATTGCAGTGGACTGGTAACTAAGTGTGGCAGTGGTACCGGAACCGGCAAAACCGGACCGGTAATTACCGGAACCGGTACTGTGTGTACCGGTTCAGTTCCGGAACCAGAACCGGACCGGTCCGAGAAACCGGTAAAATAACTATTGTTCCGTCCCGGTCCGGTAGTAAACCGGTACTAGACCGGACCGGACCGGAACGGTATCCGGGACGAACCGAATTTAAAAAAAAATTTAATTGAATCTAATTTTTATTATAAAGT